CACCTTAGTGAGTTAATTATTGCTAGTATTTATGATTATCCTTAACCTTGGTCAAGTTATATGCCCATGGGATAAAGTGTAGAATAAACCAGAGGACTGAAAGCTGTCTTTACCTCAGGACAGGAGGATTCTGAGTGACAGTTTCCATTAGTGTTGTAATGGGATCTAAATAAATGCAAAAGGACTGGTGTCCTTGGCAAAGAGGGATGAAGGCTAACTCATGGGTAGAACTAGATCCTGGTGGTCACGACTTTCTCTGCTTGGTGTAATGTACACCTTGCAAGGAGCCTGCACATGGTAGGTTCTTGATAAATCATAGCTATTAGTTATAGTTATTTCGTGCCCCTGGAATATATTTGCAGACTTAGGGAGTATGTATCATTTCATTTCCAAGGCTGCGGTGTTTTCACAATACACATTGGATCTGTGAAAGTCAATCTTTGGAAAGTATATCAGTTAATTATTGCCACAGTAATCCCATATAGGTGTACCTCAAAGACACAGATTTGGTTCCGGACTTCTGAAATACGAATTTTGGGGTTTCCCAGTACATATAAAAGTATGCTTATACTTTACTGTAGTCTGTTAACTATGTTATAGTCATTCTTAAAAGATAATGTACAAAGCTTAATTCAAAATACTTTATTGCTAAAAAATGCTAACCAGCATCTGAGCCTTCAGCAAGTCATAATCCTTTTGCTGGGGGAGAGTCTTACCTACAACTTGTAAAAACATAGTATCTATTAAACACAATCAAACGAGGCTCTCACTGTATAACAAGCCACCCAGAAACTCTGTGGGTTCAAATAAATACACAGGTTGGGGCAAAAGTGGGCCTACAGTTGTTTGTATGAAAAATACAATAATTAATAAGTAGTAATATAAGAATAAACTGTGTTTCTTGTTCTCACAACTGTAAACCTCCTGTTCCCCCTTCTGCACTCTCTGTGTCTGAAGGTTGGCTGGGGGGTGGCTGATGTCGGCTGGGCTTGTATTCAAGCTATAAGGTGAATCTTGGCCTATTCTGCGTGTCTCTCATCCTCCTTGGACCAGCATCTACCTGGGGCATGTTCTTCTTGTGCTAATGGCATAAGCTCAAGAGGTGATGCTCGATCTCACAAGCACATTTCAAGCTGCTTGCTTATGTCCTAGCTGCTAACCTCCCATTGGACAAAGCAAGTCAGATGGGCAAGGCTGAGGCCAAGGGAGGAGGAAGCATATCCTGCAAAGACATACAAAGTCACAGGACCGAAGAGTATGCATGCAGGGACCGGTGGCCAGTGAGGGCCACAAATTCAGCCTACCTCGGTCTGCATTTGACTTTGCCAATGTAGCCATTGCAGTACCTGCTGTGAGAGGGCTTTCCTTGCTTTAGTACCCGCATTGAAATTCTAAAAGCTCTCCAGGGTAGCATCCACAGCACATCGCAAATTCCCCTTTGGTCTTTCGGAGCCTTTCCTCTGACAGACAGGAGTTTACTCTACTGTAAAGCAAAGAGTCCCAATTGAGACCCACAGGATGGATTAGGCAGACAGCATCATTGACCTGGTTCCACTTCGTTAGCCTTTCCAATTAAGGAAGATGCTGCTGCAAGTGAGACCTCACCACCACAGAATCATACCTTGCATCCTCCAGATGCACCTCTTTAGGGAGAGTCCTATATTTCAAATGCGCAACACGGGGGGGGGGTGGTTGGTAATAGGGGGAGCGGAAAGGGGAGCAAAATTCTTTTAGCAACTGAATCCTCCTGTGAAGGACTGGCCACTTGTGAGTACTATATCTTCTTGGCTAAGTAATTAAGCTAAATAGGTATCATTTGTACTTGTGTCTTCCAAAAGCTTTTCAATAGATGTTGGACCCCCCAACCTTGTGCCCATAGGGGTCTCTGGTCTTAGGGCATCAAATAAAGGGTTGGTGCATCACTGTATCCAGAGATCAGGCTCTGGGTTTTATCACCACAATTGACAGAGGTTTCCCAAGGAAGGTCTTTTCCAGTGAAGTTAGGGGCCCACGATGGCCTTTTCCCCTCTTCACCCCCTCGGGATCCTGAGCAATGAAGCCTAAGCCCCAAACAATGGCCAAATGGGCTGTGAAGTACAACTTAATTAATCTGGGCACGCACCCAACACCCCAGCGCAGTGCTTTTGCAAGGATGTGGCTTAGAGAATGAGGCTAAGGTTTGAATCTCAGATGCAGCCTCTTGTCTTCTAGTCACAGTCTTGATGGTGGGACCTGAATGCAGAGGCAGACACGGACTTCTCTGAGCTGGAGAGCAGGCACAGCATGCTCTCACTCCCTAAGCTGCAGGCCAGACCTGACTCACGCTGCCTGTCATACACCAGGAGGATAGCCTTGCCTCCTGAAGACAAAAATGGGCCCTGCCGAGTGTGTTTGCTTAACATGGGGAACCTGGAAGTACAGGGTCAACTCTCCCTATGTACCCATGATAAAGGGCCTGGATAGAGGGGCTCTGTGAAGGACAGCTGGGCCAGTGAGCCTGTTTGCTCGAAAAAAAACTGTCTCAGGGAAGGTTCTCACCCATCATGGCTACCACCTCTTCACAGTTGGGAAGGAGCAAGTAAAGGTTTGAAGAGAGGGGCCTGAGCCGAGACCGGTTTGGCTCAATGGATAGAGCGTCGGCTTGGGGACTGAAGGGTCCCGGGTTTGATTCCGGTCAAGGGCATGTACCTTGGTTGCGGGCACATCCCCAGTAGGGGGTGTGCAAGAGGCAGCTGGTCGATGACTCTCTCTCATCGATGTTTCTAACTCTCTGTCTCTCTCCCTTCCTCTCTGTACAAAATCAATAAAATATATTAAAAAAAAAAAAAAAAAAAAAAAAAAAAAAAGAGAGGGGCCTGAAATATTCCCTCCAAGATTCTCCCAAGTCCCCAAGGGGGGAGTGGAAGAAATGTCCCCCTCAGCATTTTCCTAGGTGTGAGTAGTATTTAGGGCCTGGATGGAATGTGGAAATTAGTGAGATGTTCCTTTGGCAATTCCAGTTGAGTCGCACCATTGAAGAAATGCTGGCTATTGGACTCAGAAATGGAATTGGGGGAGAAGAGTCTTTCATCTTAAAAGAAAAGTTAGAACTGACTAGAGCTCAGAATGTCCCTGGGCCCATAGTTCTTATACTCATCAAAATTATTATAAAGTAGAGGCCTGGTGCACGGGTTTGTGCATTGGTGGGGTCCCTCGGCCTGTCCCGCACCCTCTCGCAATCCGGGACCCCTTGGCAGATGTTGGAGAGCCAATTTGGGCCCAATACCTGCAGGCCAGGCCAAGGGACCCTACTGGTGCATGAATCCGCACTGGGCCTCTAGTTTATAATACGCATCTAGTATGCATACAAGATTGTTGGTAATCTCTTCCACTTTTCCTCTGAGATTCATCAGTCTGTTCCATGTTTCCATGCCTGTGGTTTCCACTCCCGCATTGAGCGTTTGCCCCCTGGTGGTCAGTGCACATCATAAGCTACCAATAGGTTGGCTGGTTGCTTAGGCTTTTATATATTATATCTAGATCGGCATCATTGTAAAGATACTACAGAGGAGTAATCCAGAAAGTGACCTTTCATCTAGGGTAGGGGTTCAAAATGTTTCAATTTCTCTATCATTCCTTTATTTTATTGTGCTAAGAACACTTCACATGAGATTTATACTTTTGGCAAAATTGTAAGCGTACAATATGTATTGTAGGTACAGTGTTGTACAGCAGATCTCTAGAGCTTATGCATCTTGCTCAACTGAAACTCTAAACCTTTTGAACAGCAACTCCCAGTTTCCTTCCTCCAGCCCCTGGCAACCATCATTCTATTATCTGCTTCTTCGGGTTTGACTATTTTAGAATCCTCATTTAAGTAAAATCATATCTAAACCTCCATGTTCATTTAAGCTATATTTACAATAACCAAGATAAGGAAACAATCTAAATGTCCACTGATGGATGATGGTATGTGCATATAATGGAATAGTATTCGGCCCCAAAAAAGGAGATCCTGCCATATATGACAACATGGATGAGGACATTACGCCAAGTGAATAAATTAGAGACAGAGGACAAATATGGCATGATGACTACACATGTTCTTTCTTGTTCACCATACAGGCCAGTGAGCTGGTGCTAATTTGCATGGCTTCCTCGAAGCCTGTGTTGGCAAACCTGCTTGGACAAAGCAAAGCATCCAACTGAGCTTGCACGTCATGCCCATTCTCTGTAAGAGGCAACTCGAGGTTGCTTTCCCAGAGTTACCAATCCAAGATGGTTAAGTTCAGAGCCAACATTGTGCAGACAAAAATAGCCTTTATGTGCCGGGTTTCCTGTTTTTCTTGGAGGCTCCTTCCCATCCGTCCCTTTCCTCTGTGTGCCCACCCTGGCCCCCGCCCAAAGAGTTCATGTGTAATGACCCGAGACATGACCACCAGGCACTTTCAGTCAATTGGCTTTTGTAGAGAGGAATGAATTGGACTTTTCTCCGGCCTTCTCTCTCCCGAAAAGGATCTTCCCAGCCCGTTGGAATGGGCTCTGCAGACTAGGAATTAAGCCCTTCTCTTTGTCTTGTTTCTTCTTTCAATCTTTTCAAGATCAGACACAAGCTGGTGGCCTTGCCTCTAATTGGGACTTTATATTCTTTTGGGTTTATTTCTCATCCTCTTGTGGACCAACTTTCCCTTCACACAGAGAGTTTGAACACACTTTGTGCTCTTCAGTGAGGATGCTTTGTTTCTTATTTCTTTACACTTCATCCTTCTGCATGATCTCCATGTAGGTGCTCCCTTTACCTCTTGATGAAAAACTTGAATCTTCTTAATCATCTGGGGACTGAGGGACATTGGAGATTGGACCACTCTGTTCTCATGTTTTGTAGAATGGGGGAGACAGAGTTGGGTGGATTACCTGTGGGGTCTTACCTGAGGGAAGAGATCCAGCTTTGGTTTGAATGATCCTGGAGCAGTAGGTTAAATACCCACCACTCACTTGTGTTTTCTCCTTTTTTCCTGCAGGATCCACACCCAAGTCCGCTGATCACCCTGGAGACCCAGGTGAGTACCTTCCCATGGTCTTTGTCACTTCTCTCTGCACTGATGTCCCTGCATCAGCTCTCCAGGGCGAATCTGTGCATCCTCTTGGCTCCATCACTCGGAAAGTCTAGACAGGCACAAAAGCTGTCCTCCTGTCCTGTCGGCATGTGCATGTATGCACATGTGCACACACACAACAGCTGATTGTGCATGTGTGTGCAAACATATGTGTACCCAGGTGTCCAAAAGCGCCATGGGAGGTAGAAGAGGGTATGGGGGGATAAATAGTGATGTAAGGAGACCTCATTTGGGGTGGTGAACACATAATACAATATACAGATGCTCTATTATAGAATTGTACACCTGAATCCTATATAATTTTATGAACCAATGTTACTGCAATGAATTCAGTTTGATCAAGGAAGAAAAGAAATACCACAGAAAGAACCAGGACAGGAAGGCCGGACGTTGTTGGGAGAGAGGATTCTGAGGGTTTTTCTGTGTTCGTTCTGTCCTCAGATTTCCCAGCATACACTTTCAGTTATATCGGCTTCAGGGGTGACCAGACCACAGAGCTGGCAGGAAAGAGCAGTGGGTGGGGCTTTGAGGAGCTTAAGGACCCTGCCTGTTTGGTCATCCTCTGACCTGGCTTTTCCAAATTTCTTCATTCACCTATCACTGCGGCCATGTTTGCTTGCCATGGGTAAATTACACCTGTTCTATCACATCACCTAAATATATGATTTTTCCTTAAGTTAATTTTTGTGTTTTAATTTCAGAAGTAGATTGATCTTAAGCTAATGGTTCCCAATCAAGGGTATCTCTGACCCCCAGCAGGCATAGGCAATGTCTGAAGACATTCTAGGTTATGTCCCCCTGTGGAATGGATTAGTACTAGCAACTAGTCAGTGGAGACCAGGGATGCTGCTAAATATCCCCCAATGCACAGGACCTCTGCATAGCAAGGAATTATCCAGCCTAAAACTGCCTGTGGTGCCAAGCTTGACAGACGCTGTCTCCGGCAAAAATATCTGTGAAACCACAAGATTGGCATGCTAGTTAAATTTGTTTTTGCAAAACGTTAAAATAAATATTAAATCAATACAATTTAAAAGTTCCTTTGGGTGACCTCTAAAATAAGGTGACCAGACATCCCGCTTTTTGGTGGGACAGTACCAATTTCTAACAATTTGTCCCGCGTCCCGCGGCGTTTTAAAAAAAAGTCCTGATTTTTTGGAAAGATTCTTACGTCCCCTTGTGGGATGAGTTACTACTGGAAAGATTCTTTCCAAAAATCGGGACTATTTTAAAACACCGCGGGACATGGGACAAATTGTTAAAAATCGGAACTGTCCCGCCAAATGTGGGATGTCAGGTCACTTTATTCTAAAAGCACTTACTAGTAAAGATACTCTGTTAGATGTCGGTGTGCTGCACTTTGGGGAACAGGTCCTTCCCAGGCCACCCAGCGGATTGTGAGCGACCTTCCAGGACGCTTTTCACATGATGCCTCTTCTCTTCTTTATCAGTTCCTCCCCGCCAGGAAAACTCATTAAACTCAGGAATACCCCCTGGGAAAAAAGTCTGTGTCCAGATTCTGGAAGCCAAATCTCACTTCCTGGGGGTGGCGTGGCACTGCCCCCTGTGGTCTGTCCTTGGCCCTCCTGAGTCCTTCGCTATGGGAACCGGCTAATCAGCCCTTCAGGAAGTCCATGGGAAAGAGCAGTCACGTGCCAGCGGCTTTGGCCGGCACACTGTGAGTGTGCCAGCTCACCCCTACCCAGACCTCTCTTAAAGAGTCACAGGCACGACTCAGGGGACCCGAGCCTCGCGCTGCAGCCGGCCGTGGCACGAGGCGGGCTTTCTGCATTTGTGCCACGCCACTGGGGAAATGACTCAATTTGTCTCCAAACAACACGCCGTCAGTCTCATCTGGCTCTTGGTCTCTGGGGAGCCGTCGGATGTTGTTGTCTTTTCTCGACTTCTGGTTTCCCATGTTAAAGGGACACTGGAACCCAACCAAAGTGCAGTTTTTTTGTTTTGTTTTTTTAAACTGTTGGCACAAGCCTGTGGCCAGATCTCACTTCGTGCTGGGCCTCGGCCCATCGTGTGAGTCACGACGGGATCCTATTCAGCTGCGGCAAGCAGGTCAGGCAGGAGGGGCAGGGAAGCGTTTTCTGGCAGAAAGTGGTGCCCCAAATATTAGCCACGTGGCACGAGCAAGATGGCAGCTGTGCCTGAACTCGGAAGAGTCAGCCACGCAGAGGAAGTGGCCAATGTGCTTGCTCTGAGTCCCTGGTCAGCACCCATTTCCTTAACTCCCAGTGCCCTTTGCTCCTAGGAAAGGCATGACCTGCTCCATCTGCAGCACGGGTGCTACAGGTCGACCTGCATTTTGGATTTCACTGCCACCCATGTCCCTGCGCCACATGCCAGGGATTTCACGTGTGCAGGGCCACCCGGGGGCCCTTGGCTCCATGCACCCTCTCTCCTGGGTGTTCATTGCACCGTTCTTCCCAGTGTTTGGCGAATCTGCCCCATGCAGCTGTTCTGAGTTGGGGGAGACGGATCAATGGGCTGCCGAGGACTCTTCTAAGCTCTGCTCTTTGCCGTTAGCACAGCAGAGCTTTGCATCTGTTGGATCAGCAGGACTCTCCTTAACAGCCAGATTAATAGAATGAGGAAGCCGAGAAAGGTTGAAATCCTTGGTGTCAGCTTTGGTGTCAGAGCTGGAGGGCTGGGCTTTGATGTAAACTGCCCAAGGTCCATGGAAAGAGAGGAAGGAAGGAAGGAAGGAAGGAAGGAAGGAAGGAAGGAAGGAAGGAAGGAAGGAAGGAAGGAAGGAAGGAACTTTCTACAAGAATCCATGGATTTATGTAGATAAATAGGAAGAGCAATAGGTTGATGGTGAATGTAGATATATATTATAGGTAAATAGTTACATTGCTCCACACTGTGAGTAGTTCGTTGATAGATAGGTTGTCATAGGACTTGTGGGTAAACTGGTTTAAGCAAAGGACCCAATACAACATTTATTTGTAGGCAGCAAAAATGAAATATTTCCTTGTGTATCAATAGTGTGAAAAATTTGAATTCTCACTATTTGGTTTCCTCTTTCTCATTGACCTCCTCCCCCCACCTCCCAAGATGGTCTATCATTTCAGAATCCACTCCCAATTGACAAGTCCTCTTATCATTTCATTTTAGCTTCTCTGCCTCCCTTCTCCCCAGCAGCTTCACTGCCAATTAGCTATTGGTCTCTGCTCAAACCCGGCGGTGCCCTGGGAGCTGTCATAAAGGCCCTCTTCCGTAGAGTAAAGGTTTGTCAGTCTGGCTCTTTGCAAACTTGGCCCCACTTAGACGGGAGCAGACCTTGGTTTTCTTGAGATCCCTCTCAGGACCTGAAGATCCAGGGCATTGGGAGGAAAACTCCTGACAGCTCAGCCTGGGACGACCAATCAGACTCTTGAATTTCTTTGATCCGCTAACTGGAGGAGAAGGGGAGACAGTTATATTCATATAATTGAAAGTTGACGCTGGGGCCCCTAAGGATGGTGCACAACGCTCACAAGGAGAATGAGCAGGGATGGAAGGAAATCAATATTTCAGATGTTATGCCGTTGTAAATCCACCCACCCATTCCCTTATTCAATAAATAGTTTGGGGGCCAGGAGGTTGGGGCAGGCCTTGTGGGAGATGCTGAAGTGAAGTTACAAGAATGAGCAAGACAGGAGGTTCCCTGTTGATGAAGCACCCATTCTGGTTGTGGGAATCAGATGGTGAATTCACAGATAGAAATGCCCATCCTCCCAGGGGGTAGTAAGTGCACAGGAATAAGACAGGCACGTTAGCAAAGGAGAGTGAGTGGGCACGGTGCAGGGAGGTCTCTCCCTGGAGGTGAGTTTCAAGCTGAGGAGGGAAGATTCGGGCTGAGAGCTTATGGCTGAGAAAGCGTTAGCCAGGCAAAGAGACTGCGGGAATAGTGTTCTGAAATTGTTGCATATTATATCTGGCTTCCTATAAAAACAGTGCCAGTTTTCCTTAGAGTCAATTACAGTGGTGGTTCCTTCGAGCTCCTCTGATGCCTTCGTGTCATCATAACGTCAAGATGAATAAGGAATTGCCTTCTCCTGCAGAGGTGAAGGGCAAGGACTGAGGAAGTGGAAGAGGAGAAAGGGGGTTTCAAGGTGGAGCCACTGAGCCACACTCATGTGCAGCAGGGCGAGCATTTCGACAGGACCAAGGGAATCTTGGGTCTCAGCAATGTCATGCTGATCCTGGGGGTTATGTGGGAAATCCGGCTAATAGCTGTCATTAGTTTAATAGCTGGCTCATGCTCAGTGGGACTGCAGCCTCGGTCTAATCCAGTGGTTCTCAACTGGGAGCAAATTTATCGCTCCGGCCCTCACCCCCCGCCCCTCAAGGGACATTTGGTGGAGTGTGGAGACATTTTTGATTGTCACAACTCAGGGTCAGGGATGTGCTACTGGCATCTAGTGGGTAGAGGCCAGGGATGCTGCTCAACACCCTGCAAATACCCGAGAACTATTTATCCAGCCCCAAATGTTAGTAGCATCAGGGGTGGGGAACCTTGGTGTAACCCCGTTTGCTCTGTGGACAGCTTATGTACAAAGACAGACCCAGCCGTGACATTGGGACCTTGTAGAAAAGAGAGTTGTTCCCTCCTTGTTCTCTTGTTTATGTTCAAATGCCAGACTGGTCCCGCCCCTGGGCTCTGCCCGGGACACATTCATCCTCGGAACCTGTGTCCGCAGCGATGACTGCGCTCAGAGCGGTGATTCACGCCGCCAGCGAGCGTGTGCACGGTGTATGAACTGGAAAACATCTCTCAAAGGCGGTTCCTGAGAGAATTATGGCTTCACATATGCAGCGTTAAAATATATATAAAAACAACAACAACTTAAAAACCCAGCTTGTTAGCTAGGGTTGCTGGAGAGGCTGGCCAAGGCACTGGACCACTGAGCAGGCCGTGCCAGTAACTGGTTGTTGAGGCCCAGTTC